GCAGGAAGCCCCTGAGGCCAGAGCCTCAACCAAAAGAATATTGTGTATAAAGCTTTAGCCTGTGGAAACCACAGCGGATCACTCTGCTCTGACACACCTACTTTCACATATTCCAGAAAAGAACACACATGTTACCTCTTCACAGAGGTTGTTTTTAGCACCACCATTCAGATTACTATATTACAGAAAACATTTTAGTGATTTTTTTGCAAAAGGACAAAGACATATTGGATTTATTATTATTCCTTTCATTTAGTTTCTTGGTTTCTTGACAGCAAGCTCTCTCTTCATTCTCCTCCACCTCTCTCTGGGGCTCCTGAAATCTGATATGTGCTTCCCCCTGCATTCCTCCTCTCCCCCTTCTCCCCCGGCATGCCTGAGTCCTCTGCTCTGCCCTCTGTCTGATCTCGCGTTTCTGCGGACCCACAGCAGATTGTTTATTTTGCTAGACACGGAGGAAACATGGATGGACCCTTACATTGGCCCAAGATTTACTGCTGAGCTCCAGGCAGGCTCCAGTGTGATGTGTATCTGGAACAGGGCCCCCTATATCAGCAAGCTTAGTCTCCTTTCACCAGTGACACATCACAAAGGACAATGGGATTGCCTGCCTATAGGGAATGCAACGTTAAATGATCACATCAGTGGAAACATGGTCTTGTGCATGCAAATACTCCACTCATCCTACTAATTGTGGATATTAAGGGCACAGATCATTCAATAAACCATATACACCAAAGTCCTATAATAGACAAAGGGCAACACTCCCACACACACACACACACACACACACACACACACACACACACACACACACACACACACACACACACACACACACACACATACACACACACACACACACACACACACACACACACACACATAAGGAGAAGCTGAATGATGCCGGTAAAGGACACCACATTTCCCCAGAGATCATTTCGGCTGCAATTTATGAGGCTCTGCATCTCTGATGTACGCTTGTAAGTGGTGGGGTCAGGGTAGTGGACTAAAATTGCTTTGGGACACTCATTTTTCAAGAGGAAAACATCTATCTGCTCACTTTATTGTCTACTTTGAGTGTATATATGTACGTTTTAAGTGGCTGCATGTAACTGAGATTGATTACTGGTCTAAAAGCAACAATGGTTTCTAATGAACGCAAAAAACCCAGTCTCTTCTTCTTCTTTTTCTTCTTCTTCTTCCTACACACTTTATTATGTATGGGTTGTGGAGTGCTAATACAATGTGTTCCCACAATGCAGAAAAATACACATATTGTTGTTGAAAATGCTACTTTGCCTTCCAACCTAAGTGAGTGTAGCAGCTGATGGTAATACATGGAGCTTTGTGGAGACAATTATGATTCATGAGTCATATGAGAGAGATTGAAGTCAGTATATTCAGTACGTTTAAAGAAAGTGAGAGAGATCAAACAGAGCACAGTGCCACATGAAAGGGAACTGAGTATTCATAAGTCTGTCCTATCATCTTTGTACTTCTCCCATCTTTAGTGTTTACTCTCATATGGCACTTAACATTGATAAAGAGTGTATTGCGGAAATATTTCAGATTTTTTTCTTCTCTTTTTTTGGTAATATATTACTATCCTGTGCAGCCAGCTGGGTAATAGAATTTCCTCCACAGGAAGGATGAACAAAGAGAGGATTGAGGACTGAACAGAAAGAGAACTTGAGGTGAATGATTCTGTTGTCATTGAAATATTCCTCAACCAATAATAAATCAAATCAGTGCTTATCAGTATACCACAGTCTAAAATGACCTTCTTCTTTACCAGACCCACAAGACACACGTTATGTCCATAAATTCAGATTTCAAAGCAACCATGGAAAATGAACAACACCCTTAAGATGACCTGCTGCTCCCTTCCTTAAAGGAATTCCTGGAGTTTTTCTTTTATTGGAATCGGGGTTGTTGGTGGCACTCTGGGAGTGTAAGTCATTCTCAGGAGGAGCAGAGGTTGAGGTTGGAATGCCAGCGAGGGTCACAGACGACAACCTCTTGGGCCGGACACCATAAGACGATCTATGGAGCGACCAGGCCACCGGAAATGGAAATGCTATTCCTGCTTTGTCGGACATATTTGGATACAATCAGTTATATAGATAGACAAAACTTTGTTGGCTCATTTGATCTAAACCTACATATACAACAATTTAAAGACTAAAAGAAAGGGTTTGTAAATTTAAGAAATGAATGTAGTTGGGGTCCAATTATTAAGATGGCTGAACACTGTCTCTTTCTTAACAAAAAATTGATATAGATAACCTATTTTCTTTTTCATTTTCAGAAACGACTTTTTAAGAAATTTAGCATCTATGTCTCCTGACCACAAGGAGGACACAGACAGAATTGTGAGAAAGTAAAATTAAAACATCTTGAAAAAGGTTGTGCCATGTTTACAAATATCACTTTTGATAAATTGTCACCATCTGAAATACATTATTAGATTGTAAAAGTATTAACTTGTGACCGATTATTAATAATCCCAGGCAGGATTAGTTAATATATCACTAAAAGTGCTTTATGATATCAGTACAGGTGTTTTATTTAAAAAAGCTAATTTAGTGCACCTTTACTGGCAACATATTTATGTTTGGAAAATATTACATTTCAGCAATTGTAGGGTTGCTTTTTTAATTGACATTGCTACCCCATTAAGATCTAGTATTCAAATGAAACTGAGAATAAAAAAGACCTGTTTCATAGCTTCAGTCCATCATACTGTAGATACTATTACTGCTACATTTCAGCTTGTGAATCTTCAACAATATAAAGTTAAAAACTGTAATGGAGTTAACAACCTCATACATCTCAACAAGTCACTCTAAGCTGCCATCTACTGGTTGCTCTTGTTTGTGCTGCTGGTATTTCTTGGGTTGCTGTTTTTCTGGGGAGAGAGTTTACTCAATGCAGTCTGGTACATGGGGCGAAATTATAAACCCTAAATCATGTGCAGAAATATCTCTAGATAAAACAAATAAGGTTTGATCAGCTGTAAAGCACTGGTTGTAAAGAACCGGGAAGGGGATTACCATTGTGTCACCAGAGTATTGCATAATAAATTGCTCACTATAGGTTCATGCTGACAGAGAGAATTACAAATGAAATTCCAAGGTATCCCGATAGTAAGATAGTCAGCATTTCTTTAGGATTATGAGGTTTAAAAATAAGTGGAAATAATGAACTAAAACCGAAACTGTAATCCCTTTTGCTTCAGGGACTGGTTAAACCAAGCCACTGCCGTATTTTGGTTTTAATGTTACCGTAGAAACAGTGAAATTGTAAATAATAGTATTGTCAATTTGTAAATCTAAGGTTAAAATTATATATCAATGCCAAATGAAGCTCAACCATGTACAGTCATGTGAGCTAAGTGTCAACTGGTGCTTGTGGCACAATATTTCCAAACAACAGTATATTCTATAATCATAATCATCATCCAACATTTATTCTTCCTCAGGAATTTCATACATTTGACTCAGAACAGGTTTTCGGAGGTGGATCAGAGGTAACATAACAAGCCTTATCGAAGTATTACTGAGTCTTCGCCACACCAAGGGAACTTCATCTCTAGTGGTATAAATCATGACCACAAAACCTTAAATATCACCAGAGGGCACCAAATTCAGCAAAGCACACCACCATAAGAACTGGTAATGTAGTAGTGTTCAAGTATATTGTGGAACAGATTAACAAAATGTGCCTTGTTGTTATTTCAGGGTATTGGAACACAGTCAAGTCTTTGTACTGAGAAATGTAGTATATTTGTTCGAGTGAGGCATCTTCTCTCATTAATGAATAAGTACATTTTTGCCATATATTCAAGACTAACTTGTTTTTGCTGACCTCTGGTGATAGTTCTCACCTTGCATTATTCTACAAATGTTGAAGTGAACATTCAGTGCATGTAGATTTCATTGTTGGCTGTGGTTAAGTTATTAATGTTTTTCACGTGCCTATTTCTTTCACAGATGGTCAGCGATGAAACAGGTACAAAGAGTATATTTGGCATTTAAACTATGCTGCACATGGTAATGAATACAGATTAGGATTTGGATTAGTTAAAGTACGAAAAAGTAAAAGTTCTCAATTTGCACAACCCCCAATCCAAAAAGTACATATTATTAAATAATAATTACTGTTGCATTACTGTAAGGTATCACTTAAGTGTTGCAGATAATACAATCATTTTTATTTGTTACTGTATATACTGTCGGTCACTTGTTACATTTACCAAGGGATCAACAAATACCTTTGTTGACATATAATAATTTATGGTACATTAATGGTTGATTTATTTACTAATACTTTTCATTATTAATCTGAGTCTTTAAAGTAAGGGTAGAGATCTGAAGCAGCAGGAAATTGAAATGCTAAAGCAACATACAAGTACCTCAAAATTGTACTTAAGTATTCTTATGTAAATGTACGTTACTGTCCATCACTGCTTGAAAGGTGCTATAGGGTGCTATACACATAGTGTTCTAGCTACCAAATGGTGCAAACCCCTCAAAAGCCATAAACTTGCGGCATGTTAATTATTTTATTTTTCAATGTAAATAAGTGCAAAGTTGTTATGAAATGTTGAAATACTTAAGTGCAATGACAACTAAGGTAAGCCCAAAATATAAGCCTTTTGTGCTAACACATTCATTTCTAAATAGGGCCCAACAGCTAGGTAATGGTTTGCCTAACAGGTTAATCTGGCCATGCTTGTCACAGCTACATTTTACAATAATGCAGGCTCAATACTTTTCACAAAACTTGTTGATCGTTCAATAATGTAAGACATAGAGTAAAATGAGAATAGTGTACTCTAGTTTTGGACCATTTTCACATGCACGCAACAACAGTGGGTCGGTTTGCAGACGCGCAGGCTGGAAGAACCCTCAACCAGCTAACCACCCAGAGCTGCTCTGAGCTGCGCGCTGATTGGCCAGGACCAAGTAAAGGCGGAAGTCTACAGAACAGGGGGATTCCCCGAGGGAAGTTCCCAACTCAAACTAGGCTATGTAAAACATACATTGCCATATCCTCTCCGGCGCTTCGTAACTTTGCATCTGAAGATTAGGCGACGACTCTGCGGTGGTGTCAACACAATAAATTCGACTTTAGCAGCTACATGAATGAAGGTAAGAGGACGCTCACTGTGGAGTCGCTGCTCCTTCGCTTTATCCGCCACCGGTTGAATGAGCTACAGCTAACCGGTCACTTACTGTTTAAAATACGGAACTGTGTGGACTAGGGTTTGCATGACACTTAAAAGTGCTTCCCTCCTGTGCCTCGGTAGGCTCCAACGTTAGTGTTAATGTAGGGTACTTCCTCTAGAAGCCGTTGGTCTGACAGCTACTCTGTCCTTTTATAATGAGGATTGCTTAATAATTGAAGAGCAGATCTGGGTGACGGTGACATCGGACTCTTCTTTTTTTTTCATCATCTCAAAACGTCCCTGAAAACTATTACCACAGTAAGTACGGTGCTGCAATTTGCAAAGTGTGCAAAATGTGCAAAATGTGCAAAAAAGTTGTTAAATGACACTTGACAACAACATGTAGACCTGTTTAGGTCAGGGTTGTTAAATGTTATATCCAAAGAATTGCAAAGTAATTCAATTCATTGTTTTGTTGCTGTGTTTTATTTGCTCAGCAACATCCTCATCATTTGTCACAGACTTCAAACAGGGCATTGATTGTTGAGATGTTAATACTATTCTGCTTTTGCACGTTAAATTATATGGAACCGGAACTGCCAACAGTATTTTGTAATGAACAGAAATTAGGAAATATGTTTACTCAGTTTCTCAATTCCTCAGTGGCTTACATACATTTAACACACTTATTTGACATCACTTTAAGGAGTCTTTACTTACATTGTGTCTGACAACATAAAGGAAATTAAAAGGGTAACTAGCTCCATATTTTCCTTGTTCAGAAAAGTGCTTTTATCATTTTGTGTGGTGTTTTTTTAATCACCAGGGCTCATGTCTGCTGTGTCAGGGATGATTGTGGAGCACACGGCATGGAAAGGAACATTGGAGACCAGCTCAATAAAGCTTATGATGCTTATCGCCAGGTCTCCATTGAAAAGGACAATGCTAAAAGGGAACTGCAACAAATGGTAACGTTGTGATGAGAAAAATGTTCAAACGTTGAGTGAAAAATTCAAATGTTGCCAATATAATAGTTCACAGAGTAGCTTGCCAAGTGTGTTTATTAGTTGTATTTGTGTAACCAGTCTAATAGAAATAAATGTGTTTTGAAAACATGATTAATATTTATCTTTGTATTAAAAAATATGACAGTTAAAGACCAGATTGCAGATATTGATGCGCAACAATAACAGAAACCTCATTTTTGCAGAGTGAGTATTATGAGAGTTACACTCAAAAACTTCAAAAGCAGATAGAGGACCAGCAGCAGTTGATTTCCAAACTTGAAGCTAAGTTATCTTCAACAAGGCAACCACCAGGTTAGTGAGACGTGCCACATGATCTCTACTTATTCTTATGCCGACAAGATAATTCTCTGCATCGCAACCTATGTACTGATATTGGACTATCTTACATTGCCTCCTGTTCAAACTGTTCTTTTTCTCTGTGTTTTATAGAGATGAAATGTGAGCCTATCTACCATCTCCTCGATGGGGCCAGCGCTTATAACAAAATGCAGTACCCGGTATGTTTGCTATGCTACAGTGTGGTTTCCCTAAGTCTACGCTTTGTGAAAAATTGCAATATAATGGCTCTGAAAATGTTTTTTCTTCATTGTCATTGTTGAAATTACACCGAACATACATGCAGCTTCCTTTTGTCGCACACAATTACATGTTGATAGTACTTCTGCTTGATGATGTTGTTGCACTTGTGCCAACAAGGATGTTAAAGGTAGGATAGGTAATTCACTTCAGAAACGCTTTTTGTTATATTCCATGGAATGCTCTTAACATCCCAGTAGCAATGAATAAATGAAATGCTTTGACAATAAATATATACAAATATTTCATCTGTGGAAGCCGTGGCGCTGTAAAACGCAAGTCCAATCCCGGCCCAGGGCAGATAACTGGATGGCCTGTCAGCCTTCCATCTCGTGCACAAACTTATCTCGTGCCCTCATTGGTCATGTGCGCGTTCGCGTGTGTTGGAGGAGGGGCTCTGTAAGGAAGACTGAAGGAAGGGGCAGATTTTTTTCGGTTGTGTACTTTCAAATTCTAGCTTGCTCGAGCTGGTTTCTCCATTCTTACCTACCCTACCTTTAAGAGAACACAATATATCAGTGAGAAATTAATAAAGCATTGACTGCCCCATATGCATTTTTTATAATCTCTTACCATTTTTTAACACTGCTTTTGTGACTCTGTCAGTCTGCAAATATTTAATTCATTGTAGCATTTCTGGCCTTTTGTTACACAGCTCTAAACCAGTTTGCAGATAAATACATGATAGTTAAGAGACATTATATTCTTGTTCAGTCATTCATGCTTATCAGAGATGAATATCCATATACTTTTAGAGTTGTATAATGCTTCCAATTGTTTTTACAAAGGTTCAAGCTAAAAGGAAACCTCAGATTACATTGCTGCTGTTACAATATCCAGCCACTATTTCACTCCTCACAAGGTGTATCTGCTCTTACTTCACCAGATGGTGCTAGAGGATAATATCACTTGCACAGTTCAGCAGCTTGAGCTTTGTTCAATATTTAACAGGCCAGGAAACATGCTCCACCAGTAAATGTAAATGTTTGATGTGTAAACTGCAGAGGCATTAACAATATGCCTTTGGATAATTGTTGCTAACGATCTCTATGAATGTAATGTCATTTTTTCACAGGACAACATGGGCACTGTTGCTCCTATTATGCCAGTCAACAGCAGCGTTGACTAGTATGTGTCTCTTACATTTTTATTTATATATGTATAAAAATCATGAACATTTCGGTTAAAGAATGGATTTTTTTTCACTATTTTTTTCTTTTTCAGTCAGGACATGTTGGAAGCATTTGAAGCAATTCAAGGGAAATTCCGGCAGATTCGCTCTCTTACCAGAAGACAAAAAGATCACCTAAAAAGATTCCATGCAGGAAATGATGCATCAAACGGTAATGGTAATATACACCAAAACAATTCCTTTTCTTTATGGCCTTTAACCTAAGTCTTGTTTTCTATATTCAATTACTTAAAGGAAAATGTGCTGAAATTTGAAAAAGGTTCATATATGTCATAACCACTTATAAGTTAGCTTGCTTTTGATAAAGATAAATATATAGCAACACCTTAACTAAGACTGTTCACAAATGCCTCTGTGCCCTTTGGAACAATAGCTGGCAACCTTTATTTAGAAAATGTATTCTACTTATTCATACAATATTTAATACAAAGGGTAATACAAATATTATTTCTAACAAATAAATAGGTGTATATATAGCTATGTATTCAGCTAATTTGTGTGTATACAGTACATGTTAAGTATTCAGTATACTGTATTTTTAAAGGACCAGGATTATATCTCAATGCAAGTTTTCAAATCGTTGCCAAGTTAAAATGTCATTAAAGCCAGCGCAGGAATACAGCGTCAAACACGGCGAGCGAGACAGAAAAACTGTAAAATCTTGTGTTTTTCTGCCGTCTGACAGATCAGCGGTTTTCCATGCCCATCCAGTGCACAGACCGTACAGCAGAGGCACAGAGACCCTTCTCCGCAGTACTCAGGTCAGCGGTGGATATTCCACTCCCGCCTACGTCTCTGGCGTCCCGCGGCACCAGCCCCGAGGACAGGGACTTAGTAGACTCTCTCACCAAACTCAGTGTCAAATTCCCGCCCTCTGCGGACAGTGAATATGACTTCCTGAACAGTGCACCAGAGAGACACATCGGTCCGACCATGCCCACCAAGCGGCCTCTCAGTACTGTTCCCTCCACGTTGTCAGAAGAGGAGCCCGTGGAACTGCCCATGCCTTTTGTCTACCCCCCATCCCCCTCCCACTCAACATCATCTTCGCTCTCCCAGGAGAGCGTGCGGGGACCCCAGCAGGTGAGAATCACAGGAGAAGGTCGGAGAAAACTAGTAGCACATTATCAGTGTCTGATTGGTATTTGCTAATGGAGGAGTGAAAGAGTGTGAAGTCCTAAAAAAAAAATCCCCTTGGCTTTATTTGAAACATATTACTGTGTAATGTGTTCTGATTCTTTTTTTATTCAAGCATGGATGCTCTGGTTCAATTTGGCATCTTAGCTAGAATATGTGAGCCAGATGGAAGCACATTACAGAGTCTGAATTGAGTGGTATTTTATTTGCTGATGTGTGCAAATGTCTAATAAAAACAAAATTGTGAATGACATGCAGTCAGATCTTAAAGTTGTTCCAGTTTTCCATGTTGAGATTCTTTCCCTGGATTACACCAACATGGACTTTTATAATAGGCTGGTTTCCTTGTGTGGTTAAACACATAAAGAGTGAAATAATTAAACACTTGAGAATAGCCTTTTGCCTTCACTGTTGCTGAGCGTTTGTGCAGACTTTTGGGTCGACATATACTTGTTTTTTCTTAAAGCAACAGATACTTCAACTTGAAGGCCAAGCGGTCCAACATGCTTTAATAGAGTGAGTGTAAGGATTGTTAAGATCATAAATAATATATTGTTTTCTTTGGTTCCTCCTGCCCTGCAGCCCCTCTGGAGCCCTGAGCTGTGTGATGCAGCTGATGTGGGGACAGAGCTGGAGACGCCTCCGAGCAGCAGTCCTGATAAATGTGCTTTCTGCCACGCTGTGGTGCCTCAGGAGCGAATGAACAGCCACCTCTACTCACATTTCTCTCCTAAAAACGAAGCCGACAATTGACAGTGGAAGCAGAGACTGGCAAAGCCCCGGCTACTCTGAGACTTGTTGTTCTCATGGTGTAGTCCTACCCGCCATGAACAACATGCGCTGTACTGGATTTGAAATGACACTGCAATAGGACTTGACTCCATTTATTTAATATAGAAGAATTGAATGGTACACTTTCTTGCCCATTATATTTTTCTAATATCACGCTGAGATTTTACTCTAGTACTAAGTGACAATGATGCATAATATGGTATATATGAGCAAATAAAGCCGACATTTACTCTTTACATTTTATATCATTTGATTGGTTTTCAAGATGTAAATATAAATGGGGTGCTCATAAGTGTATCCATACATTAAGCGTTAAAATGGACAAGATTTGCATTCTTTCTGCAAGATGTTTATAAATTATTATGCCAAAACCTAATTTGCATTATTAATATGTAGTTACTTTTTAAAGAAATGATTTGCTTTGTAAATTTGCAATATTTTTTGTTGAATTAAGACACCTTTACCTCTTTTTGTTGGCAGCAAGATGTGATATCTCAGAACAACCAGCGCTACACCCGGCTTAATTTTAGCTGGACTCATCAATGAGAGCCAACATATAGAGGAGGTACCTGCACACTTAGATATGTGCAACATTTTCCACTTTCTAACAGCCCTTCATTAGAGTATACCTCGTATATATCATATCTCAGAACAGATCTTTAGAATAACAATACCCATCAAATCACTCAAACGTTAATCAATCTTTTCCAAAACATGACGTATTGATTAGCACTCTTTAGACTGGCTCTACATTCCCATCGTTCTTTCGTGTTGTTTACTTCAACCAGGATAATTAGAAGCAGATGTATGTCATTACTGGTGCGGGGAGATGGGAACATTTCCAACTTACAAATGATTTTAAAAGGTAGTAAACCATGTACTCATTAAGTGTCTCCACAGATGGCAACATCTAACATTAGGCACAAGCTTGTTGTTAAATCACATGGCCATTAAATACAGTGTTTATGTAGGCATAATCATTTTAATTGACAAATGAACATTATTACTCCAGAGTTATAATATAAAACATTCCAGGTGTGCCAGTTTAATGTGTAATTTAAGCTAATATTAACAAAATAATAGTTGTGGAAAAACATATAGAAAATGGATTATATAAGAAGATTAGGGCCATATGCGGAGAATGTATTTTGGCATATACTGTATGTCAGCTATACTGAAACATCATCTGTTCTATTTCCAAATTACACAATGTATTTTACTGAAGAGGATTAGGGTTCATGTGAAACATTTATTTCAGTTAGTTTAGAGTCAGAATACTCTCTTTAAACTGGAATACATTGTCTTATATGGCTTTACTCTTTCCATAAAATACATTGTGATTTGGAACAGATCATTTTTAAGTCCGTCACATTTCCCAGTGTGCACACAACCATCATTTCACTGAGTCTTTTCTGAACAGCAGCATCAGCTTATTGCATGCAGCAGTATTTATTCACACCTTTGCAAACAATTTCAGTGATTTTCACCATTGGGCGTGATGATGTTTGAGGAAACGAAACACTGTGTGAGTGTGTTGGAACACTGTGTTGTGCAGAGAGGACCTTGCAGCCCTCAGCTATGGGCTGCTAACACTTGCTGGGTAGATGAGCTAGTGTGAAGACTGCAAACAACCTTTTTTTAATCTCTTTAAGTGTTTGGTATTCTAACTATATACCACTTATCAAATACTGCTTAACAGACTGATTGATTTGTTATATCAACCTTAAACTGATATTTGCGTTGCACATTTCACTGTGTTTCATTAATAGCTCTGAAGGGTGTAAAAATATGCAGAGTAGTAATGCAATAAACCATTCTAGTGAGTCATTGGACTTAGAGAAGAGCCTTCCTAAGATACAACATGCCCACCATGGATACGTAGGAAAGAATTTATTCAAATTTTATTTTTTTTGGCAAATGCATATCCCTAATGATCCTCTCTGGTTAATCTGTGAAGAGTCGAACATTGTGCAGCCTGCATGCTTTTCTCTCTGGGATCATGAACAGCTGCTTGCTCATAATTATGTTGTCATTCATTGTTATTTGGAAGAGGGTACTCGTACTGACAGCTAGGATTTTTTTTTCTATGCTTCCGTACATTGTACATTTACACTGCTTGTGTGTGCAGTTGTGTGAACTGTTTTAGAAAAGTCCACTTCAGCTTTTTTTGTCACCATCATTTCTAGAAGAATATAAGATGTGCCATATTTCCCCCTTGGACATTTGATACCAAAAGGCAGTAGATTTTAGATGGATTTAAGAGCTGTTAAAAAATAAATGAAAGGGGACAAAAAAAAGGAGAAGGATATGGATTGAGACGGAGAAGTAGCAGGCTGATTAAAAGGTGTCAACATTGCCAGGAGCAAGAAGGTGAAAGCAATCAGGGGTGAGAAGAGTGCAGCATTCGTGAGGGGCAACTAATTATCCATCTCATTTGTGGAGAGAAGCATTTGAGGCAGCTCTAGCCCACTGAATGGTGACAGATTGGTGCGGAGGAGAGGGGAGGTGTTAGAACAATGGAGCCCAGCTCACCATCATTACTGCATGCTAATCAGCAGTGCTTCTGCACCACCAATCGGTGCTGCGGAGAGTTCGGGCCGAGACAGGAGAGTCACCGGCTTCAGGGGACCAGCCGACAAGAGAGGGGGGGAATGATGCACAGTACGGCTGTCTGCACTTATTTGACTTTTTCGTTTATCCTATGCATCGATTGATCTATGTGGCCTGTGTCATCCGCTTGGAGGATTAATGCCACTAAAAGTTTAAATCAGTAAAATAGAAATAAATAGTATACATTTTAGGATTTCAGACAGTGGCAATGTTATTTAAATGCCGATACAACACAATGTCTATGAGACTCAATAAATGCACATTCAGTCTATATAAGCAAATTACATTTACATTTATGAAAATGAAAAATAAGGGAAAAGGAGATGGAAAAGTAGTAGAAAAGCTCAATAAAATGACACAAGAAAATAATTCACTACTTTATTGTGAGTACTGCAGAAATAATTGATGAAAAAATTCAAATCAGAGTCATCATTATAATTTCATAAAATACACATAAAACAAAGGTAGTTCACATGGTTGCAACACATTTCTTATGGTGTCACTTTCTTTGTCAATTTGTTCAGCTGTACTGAGTTCTGTGTTCGTGTTACAATGGTGTTCAAAAACTGATAAAAACAGCTTTGTGTTCCTGCATAGAAATCTACACTCATTATCCTATTGTGCACATAAGCATATAGCCACAGAAATCACACGTTTTCTAATGCGTGATGAAGGTGTGTTAGTGATTGTTTACAAAGCATGCTTTTATTTTGGGGTTTGCAAAATAGTAATATGCTTATTAGGGTGGTCCTTGTTATGCTTTTTACACCTATTGACAGTTTTCATTAATATACAAAAAGTACTTTTCCTTCTTAAATTACCTTCAATAGTGCCTGTATTCATATATTATTATGAATAGTGATTGTATTCATCACTTCTGTTTATGACTGGTTTGTGACAACAGGCTTAATAGATATCAAGAAATGTGTGCTTGATATAAAATATTCAAACAACAATAATATTTTGAATTTTTTGATCTTTATTTGCCAGTAATTGGATCATAATTGCAGTAGCAAAGAGACAGATGAGGCGCCATTCCACTAAGTCCTTTTTTCAACAATTACCCTTCTTAATATTCAAACAATGGTTATCAGATCGTGCCATTGCCAAGAAGGTCCAACACGAATGGGGGAAAAAAAAGGTGATTATTAAAGGGGTTTCATCAGATCGTAAAACAAAACAGAGAGATAGCAAGTGGACTAAGGTCCCCTGACTAGAATGGCCTCTTCACATCAATGTCATTTCGATAATTAACAACTTTGGAGAGAAGCATATTCAACTGTCTGTTCACTGGTCACCGTTGGCATGAGAGACTGCCAACTCTCATGGCGTTGGGAGCTGAGAGTATCACCAAACAGTTGTCTTGCCATGCGTTGGGCTGCTCGTGCTCTCTGTGCAGCAGTGGCGGAGCCGACTTTGGTTTCGATTAAATGTGTTGAAGCCATCGCTGCCTGTGCAAAGTCTCAGAACAGCCTCCCCTCTCCATTGTGTTTGTCTCAGTGCTGGTCTGAGAGCCCTGCTTTCTGGAGCAGAGATTTGGCAGTCACAGCAAGTGATGACAGAGGCAGTGGTGAGATCGCACCCAGAACCCCAGAGGAGGCTCACATTTCAGGGGGATGAGAGACTTGTTCAATACACAGAACACAAAGGCACTGATCAGAGGAGTCTGAGAATACTATTGTTCTGAAAATCACATTGTTCAGCAACCACTACTTTTATGTTTACTTGTGGATGGTGGGAGTGTTGGACATTTGTTAACTTCTGAACTTTTTAAAGACACTTGGCTGCCAATTGGAAATAACAGTACGACTGAAAGTCTGGCTCTCAAGATGGCATCCTCTTGTTATCTTATTGTCTCTTTTAAATCAGTGTAGGTTGTTTTTTTTCTCTCTTCTTGACACATGGGGGTGGGATGGAGCATGGCGATGTTTGCAGAATGGTAACTTGCAATTCAAGGGTTAAGGCAGCATGAAAGAATCCATTCTCGGTTTAATGACCTAGCCTTGCTGGGCGAGGACGACAGGGAACATGCTCTTGACTTGTACTGAATTTGCCAATTAACACCTCTGATAACAGGCTGCCTCTGAACATCACCAATGTAGAGGGAGGAGGAGCGACTCTCATGCACTTTGTTTTTCAGCCCCTGATCCTGTAAGGATAAGGTCTGCAATTTCTTCAGACTCTGAAAATGATTTTGCCTTGTTCACGGCTTGGTGAATTCTCTTTCATAGTAGAAGGCTTTGAAATAAATCCTCCCTTCATGTGCTGTGTAGTCACCGACTGGCAATGATGTTGGAAATATTTTATTTTTCCACGTGCTGCTCGAATCCTTATGTGGACATTCTATTTTTCGCACATGCCCATATGGCCATGTGCAGCTTCAATTAGACACATGGCTGGTATCTAAGATACACCGTGCTTGATTGGCTTTGTCCCTTCTTATTGTTGAAATCGAAAACACAAAACAACAGCGTTGTCCTTGATAGATATATGTCTAAAAAGATATGTCCCCTCAAATAAGGTTCCCGATTGCATTCACCCCTCTGGTTTCACACATGCTTATCAGACTCCCAAACAACACCTAGTACAGGTGTGAATATCAAATTCCCCAGTGAAAATCACAGTGGGTACTCGTGTGTTGTCCTCAGGGTCTTTTTACATGCAGCAGTGGTTTGCATTTGGGCCGAGATGCTGCCGGCTAACGGCAACTGCAGAAACACCTTTGGCTAAGTGCAAGGTGGACATCCTTACACCAAATGGGCTTAATGAGTGAAAAAAAAATGCCACCCAGATCTAATTGAAAAAGGCGATGTACAGTAGCTGGTTTTGCCCAGTAAAATCACACCATAACACAGTAGTTT